TGCAGCTGTATGTGATAATACCTGCTATTAAAACTAAACACAACTGTATGCCGTTTTGACAAGTCACTTTAAAATGAATGCGATCATCTCCTTCCCTAAGAAGGGGGTTCCAAAGTGTGGGAGATTCTCTGTCAGAGAGCTCTGGTGCCACAATAAACTACAATTCCCAGGATTCCCTAGCACTGAGCCAGATCAGTTAAAGCAGTCTCAACCTGGATTATTTCTGCAGTGAGTTTCGGACCGTAACAGCTAGCAAAATTAAAATTATACCTTTAAATTACAATATCATATGCACAAAAGAGCCAGCGTGGTGCATTGGCTTGAGCCCTGGATTAGGACTCTGGGGATCAGGGTTTGAACCCTGGTGCAGCCGTGAAACCTACAGGGTAACCTTGGGCAAATCACACTCTCTCAGCCTCAGAGGATGGCAATGGCAAACCCCCTCTGAAGAAACCTGCCCTGTGGTAGGGTCGCCATAAGTTAGAAATGACTTGAAGGCACACAACAAGAACAACATCATATGCACAGCCTAAATGTATTTACATGTACATAGATTTGTGTGGTTAAAGTGAAAATTTGCTAAGATGTGATGGTTTAATGAAAATTGAAAAAGAATTGAAAAATTGAAAAAAAAGAATTAAAGGTCAAAACCAGCACTTTGAATTGTGCCCGGAAAAAGACTGGCAGCTAGTATGCCATCATGGATGGTCAACCTCCCTGTTTATAGCTTGTGTCACTTTTGCATGTGCTTACCCATTACTCTATTCTTTCTCAATCATTCTTTCTTGAATCATGGCCAAATATTCTACATTATGGTCTAGGTTGAATAATTTTATGAATCCGTAGTTACATTGCAGAAATGTAAGGAAACCCTAGATGTGAAGATGTGCATCCAGGCATCCGCAAGAGTGTTCTGATGATGCACATCAGGTGCTTCTCATGTGCAGCTCCTAGGTGAATATCGGTGTTGTGAAACGTTGTTGTTGGGTGCCTTCAAGTCATTTCCAACATATGGCTACCCTAAGGTGAACCTATCATGGGGTTTTCTTGGCAAGGTTTGTTCAGAGGAGGTTTGCCATTGCCTTCCCCTGAGGCTGAGAGTGTGTGACTTGCCTAAGGTCACCCAGTGGGTTTCATAGCCAAATCAACATTCAAACCCTGTTCTCCAGAGTCATAATCCCAATACTCAAACAACTACGTCACACTGACTCTACTCATTTTATTTCTTATCCACCTAAGTCCACTTACAAAAATGTAAAATTTTGAATTCTAGCCCAGATTTTTATTTAAAAAGATTCATTTCAAAATGTGGGCCCTTGGTATTCACTGGGGTTTGGTTCCAGGACACCCCTTCCCCCCGTGGATAACAAAATCCATGGATGCTCGAGTCCCATTAAATACAATGGCATAGTAAAATGCTGTCCCTTATGTAAAATGGAAAATCAAGGCTTGCTATTTGGAATGTATACTTTTTTGGAATATTTTCAAGCCATGGATGCTTGAATCCGTAGATAAAAAATCAGGGGATAAGAAGGGCCGACTGTATTTAAATATAGCGTATGTGTAAAACCTTGTTAATGCACATCCCCTGCAGTTAACATATTTCCCCCTCTAGCAACAGAAGCATGCCTCAGCAGTCAGGCTTGCAGATGCAGCCAATGTTTATCTTTCAATGCCTAATCAGAAAGCAAGGCACACCGACCTCCGGAAAAGCATGTGCTATGGCAAGCAAACATCTTCTCAATACCTGAGGGACCACCTCTGCCAAATACATCAAAGCGCATCACATAATTTGACCTGAAATTCTAACCAAAGCCAAGAAGTGCAAATTTCTCAAGCATCCCTAGAAGGCAGCTAGGAAATTTATTTTGCAAATTAGAAAACAGACAGGTAAAATGAGCAGGAGAAAGTTGTGAATGGAGCTGCAGGTAGATGTCTTTCCAGTCTTATCAGAGCAATCTTTGGAAAAAGTAAACACTAATTTTCACTAGGGCACTAAACGTATGCCTAGGTCACTTATACCATTTATTATTATTATTATTATTATTATTATTATTATTATTATTATTATTATTATTATTATTTCTTCTTCACCTCTCCCCATAGATCAAGGCAGAGAACAACAACAATTAACCACACATCAGTTAAAACAGATCAGTTAAAATGCAGTTCAATTTAAAAGGACATGCATACAATTTAAAAGCACACGATACACACATATTAAAACAACTCACATTTAACATTTATCATTTAAAATTCAAAATTTAAAAATCATCTGGATTTAAAATTGTGAATGGGAACTTATAGAACAAATAACTGCAATAACAACAACCTCTTCATGTCCTGGGATAAAAAAAAGGGCAAATTTCCCCAGCATTATAGGTTCTCTCCTGGTTTGGTTTTAGTTATGGGAATATTTTTTGTATGGAGGTCCATCATTCCACTGTATGTGTCCACATGTAACCTGAAGTGATACAGTCCAGGTATTAGTCCTATTTAAGAAGAGACACATAACAGGTAAAAGCATAAATCTGAACAGATGCCTCCTGATCCAAATTCTGTCCCCAAAAAAGAAGTCCTGCACTTAAATTTTTTTCTCTGTAAGCTGCCACACAGTTCCATTGGAAATTCTACTTTTTTTCTGAATTAAAAACAACACATTATAAAAACACAGAAAAAAAATAGGATTGGGTATATTCACATGTGATGTGTCAGTTTATTCAAATACGTAATCTCCAATACTGCCATAAGCCCATTTTTGTCTTGTCTGTTTATTTATAATTTGCTAGTAATAGTTTAACTAAACTAAAAGAGCTAAATAGTTTAACTAAACTATTACTAAAATCCCTCTCAAAATGGCAACAGGAACTGGCATGTCACCATTTTGAGAGTTGAATGCAAACAAGTATTGGGGGGCAAATACAAGGATGTGGGGGCCTTGTGGGATGGAGGGTTATTGTTGTTTTTTTTTTGGCATGCTTTCACACATTTAGGATGCTTTCTGGGAGATTTTGGGATAAAAATTGACCAAAAATTGTGCTGGGAAAAAATTGGGAGTGCTTGGTGGGGGGCTTTTTAGGGGGACTTAGGGGCTGCAAAATTGTGGTCCAAGAGGGTCACACTATGCCTACACCTGTCCTTTTCCCCCTGCCATCACTGCTTATCCTGGTGTAACTATCATAGGATAGTACACCTACAAAATCCAGCCTTCATCTGTAAATGAAATGAATTAAGATTGCAACCCTCTATCCAATTATATGCCCAGTGAAATCCGTAACTCTCTGTTCAAGATCCTTTTGGAATTGCCACTTCTGCTTCGGAGGTGCAATAAAAAAATATATAAATTTCTAACTACCCATCATTTCTCAGAAATATTCTTATTTTAAATATAAGTAGCTCCCACATCTTACGTTATAGAAGACATCATTCTACGAAGGATGTCATTTGTAAGTATTAATATATGAAAACTCCCTTCCATTGTTTAAATCACATCAACAAACTTGCAAATCTTTCTGCAGGAAGATTGTATTCTGTTATTTATAAGTATGTATTAAACTATGATTGTTTAATTGTATTTTGGGGTGGGTGGGCTATTGGGGTACAGGATTGAATGTTTGATCATGTAAGCCGCCCTGGTTGTGTTATACAGAGAGGTGGGATACAAATACATATTATTTTTTCTCTGAAGATGCTAGCCACAGATGCTGGCGAAACGTCAACTCTTTCAGAACATGGCCACACAGCCCGAAAAAACCCACAAAAAAAAACATTTTATTATTATTTATTATAAGTCTGATAATTTTGCATTTGCCCAAGAAAATACAGTTGCCACTCCTTCTCAAGTATTTAAATCCAGAGGGAGTTAATGGGAGAAATCCCACAAGCCATTTCTAGCACGGTCCCCTCTCCAACCTTTGTCTTTTCTCCCCGCACAGCTTTGTTTTTGGGAGTGATGGGTACCTGTACCAAGGGAGAGGCTGGCACTGGGTGGGAGCTCACACTCTGGGCTACAACAGCAAAGGCTTCGGCATCAGCTTCATCGGGAACTACATGAAGGACCTTCCAGCCCACTTTGACTTGGAGCTTATGAAGAACAACTTCTTACAGTGTGCAGTTAGAGGCGCAAGGCTTCAGGCCAACTATACCCTCCATGGGCACCGTCAGATGGTATTGACCACCTCCTGCCCAGGAGACAGACTCTTCCAAGAGATAAAAACATGGAAGGGTTTCAAAGTGAGATGTGTCATGGACAAGGGTGTTCGCCACTGTGTTTAATGCACAGGACAAAGGGCCTTAGCACACGAGGGAAATCCTGTGCAGAAACGGGGTTTTAAATAGAAAAAAGTCTGCAAAAGCAGGTAGATTTTCAGACAATGTCACTGTGAAAGTGTGCTGAACCCGAACGGAAAGTAGTCCAAAGCTGCTGCTTTTTACTTTCAGAAAATCTTGAAAGTAAAAAGAAGCAGCTTTTTACTTTCCATTCGGGTTAAGCACACTTTAACAGCGATGTGTGTGAAATCTACCCACTTTTGCAGGTTTTCCCCACCTTTTAAATCCTGTTTCTGCATGGGATTTCCCCCGTGTGATATGGTTCAAAGACTCCCGATAAATGGAAGAGCCACAATCCCATCCGTGTCTGTGTCACCAGAGGGCAGCATCTGCCATGAACCACAGAGGAGCACATTCACATTACAATCAGCCCTCCTTATCCGTGGATTTTTTTTATCCATGGATTCGAGCATCCACAGCTTGCAAATATTTTAAAAATATATAAATTCCAAAAAGCAAAACTTGATTTTGCCATTTTATATAAGGGATACCATTTTACTGTGCCATTGTATTTAATGGGATTTGAGCATCCTCGGGTTTTGTTATCCAATGGGGGTCCTGGAACCAAACCCCAGCAGAAAACGAGGACCCAATGAACTTTGCTGAAATAAATTGTGAAAGTCATGCAATTATATGTTTTGAATTGATCACTTGAGATGGGGCAGATATGAGCCAGCATGTTGTAGTGGTTTGAACATTGGACTACAACTCTGGAGATCAGGGTTCGATTCCCTGGTCAGGCGTAAAAACCCACTGGGTAACCTTGGGCAACTCCCACTCTCTCAGCCTCAAAGGATGGCAATAGCAATGGCAAACCCCCTCTGGAGATACTTTCCAAGAAAACCCTATGATAGGTTCTTGTTAGGGTCTCCATAAGTAAAAAAATGACTTGGGGCACACAACAACAAGATATGTGGGACAATCTTGAGGGTATTTGTGTAGCAGAATGGAAAGGAATGGAGAAGGACAACCAGATATCCCTTGGGGCTACAGAGGCCCCATACTGAGACAGATCAGCCACCTTAAATTGTCCTGGGCCCAATGCTATTCAACATTTTTATCAATGACCTGGCTGATGGAATAGATGGCATGTTCATCAGATCTGCAGTTCCAACCCCAGGAACTCATCCTGGAGTTGAGAAGACATCACGCAGTGTAGTAGAGGTTGGAAACTGGCCTATAATTATCTTGTATAATATGATATAGGAAAGGTTTTTCTCAGAAAAGGTCTTACAAAAGTTTTGTAAAGAATGATTAAACACTCCTGTTAGCTGCTCCGCCAGTCCCAGGAGGATCAAGGGTCCACTGCTTAAATATTTGAAGGGATGTCATATTGAGGATGGAGCAATCATGTTTTCTGCTGCTCCAGAGAATAGGACACAGAGCAATGGATTCAAGGTACAGGGAAAGAGATTACACACAAATAGCACCCTCTCCTGAAGCCAAGGATATTCAACTACTATTCCAACTTCATAACAGCTGTCAGATCTTTCTTGATTTATTCAGTAACAGCTATTCCTTTAGTGGCTCCTGAATGATGGTATAGTGTAACAAAGAGAAATTCTTTCTCTCAACATAAGAATTTGTAGTAAATTTAGTAACACAGAACACTTTGGCACCTTAACTGCTAACCAATGTACTTATAGCACGAGCTTTTATGGGTGATCATACACATAATTCTATGCATGAAGTGCTATCCAGCATTATATATATATATACAGGACACATGGTTGGGAATGACCTCAGTGATGTCAGAGGGAAATCAAATACAAAAAGGATTGCTCATGACAACTTCATTATTGATACTGGACATTCCTGATGAATTGTTCCTAGAAGTGCTGGGTGTCCCCTGTGAAGTGGACTGCTTTAAGGTCTTTGTTGGTGTCCTGGGTGGATTTAGTATTTGAAATTGGCATAATTAGCAGCATAACACTGAGATAACAATTCCATTCTGAAAAAACATAGTAGGAACAAGAAAAAATGTCATAAAAACCTTACAAAGGAGTCTAAAGGAGTTTTTAATTAAAAACTCTTATCACATGAATGAATCAAGACAGAAGGGCAAATCTTAGCTTCCCAATTCTGTGGGCAGAAAAGAAGCTTTGATTTATCTGCTCTAAGGCCAATGTGGTGTAGTGGTTTAAGCGCTGGACTACAACTCTGGAGACTAGGGTTCAAATCCCAGCTCAGCCATGAAACCCACTGGTTGACCTTGGGAAAGTCACATGCTCTCAGCCTCAGGGGAAGGCAGTGGCAAACCTCATCTGAACAAATCTTGCCAAGAAAACCCTATGATAGGGTCGCCATAAGTTGGAAATGACTTGAAGACACACAGCAACAACAAAGGCTGTAGTCCTATACTTACTTATCAGGCTGGAGGTAAGATCTCTAAACTTGAGGAGACTTAATTCTGTGTAGATGTGCATAAGATTGCTCTGTAAGTTTCATAGGCCAGCAAAGCAAATATGATATAGTAGGCAATGGCATAACTGAAAATGGTGGGATGAGTCTCATGACTAGAATGTAATAATTGAGGGGTATAACCTATTTTAGAGAAATAGACCAAAGAGGAAGGGAGGTGGAGTAGCACTATACATTCAGGATGTGTATACCTATGAACAGATCCATGACTTAAATCCTGGAATTCAAGTTGAGAGCAACAGGACTTAAATCCTGGAATTCAAGTTGGAGTTATGCAGTGGAAAGGGAAAGCCAAGGAGAGAATCAACAGGGATGCCATTGTGGGGGTCTACAGATTATTACAGCCCTCCAAGCCAAAATGAGGACTTCCTGGAACAGATGACCACACTTTCAGAAAGGACGTAGTAGTAATCAGATGTAGTAGTAGTGGTGGATTTCAACAATCCTGATATTTGTTGGAACTCAAACTCTGCCAAAAATTTAAGACCCAACAAATTCCTGACTTGCCTTGCAGACAGTTTCATTGTTCAGAAGGTGGAAGAGTCAACTAAGGGATCAGCTATTCTAGATCTGGTCCTAACCAACAGTGAAGATTTGGTTAATGGAGTGAAAGTGGCAGGATCCTTAGATGGGAGTGACCATGTTCTCTTGGAGTTATGCAGTGGAAAGGGAAAGCCAAGCATAGTCAACCATGCATTCTAGACTTTAAGAAAGCTAATTTCAGTAAACGTAGGGAGATACTGGCAGCAATGCCATGGTCCGGAATACTAATAGAGAAGGAGGTTAATAAGGGATGGGAGTTTCTTAATTTCAGATAGTTCCAACCAGGAGGAAAAATGGGAGTTGTCTAAAGAAACCAGGATGGATGTCTAAAGAACTTTCAACTGAGCTAAGGACGTTATCACACGGGGGCAAATCTGCTGGTTAATCCACACAAATCCCAAACAAAAACTGGATTTGTGCCTCATGTTTTCACATGACGTCGCACAGAAACTGGACAGAAACTGGACAGAAACTGGTGTTATCCGAGATCTTTTGTAATTCGTTGGTTTTGAGGAAATGCAAATGCGAAATTAAGGTAATTTTGCATTTACCGTAATGTGAAAAGCAAATGCGCATTTGGAAGCATTTCCCCACATTTTCCCATGGTTCCACAGGGTTTCCCATGGGTCCTCGAGGTGGCATCTCCTTATTATGTTTACTTCGGGGTTTGCTTGGGCGACAAACATGCCAGCCAGACATGAGCCTCTCCACTTTGTCCTTCTAAATATACCTGTCTTTTACTAGACATATCAGGCCGTGGCTGATGTGGGGTTTGTGATGGAACGCAAGTGATGAAAACAACATCCGCCAGCCGCAGGGAGCATAGCTATATCTGCGCATGTGCTAGAAGATCATTTCTAGTACATTTACGGGCTTTTCTCACTTGTGTGTGAGTGTTAAATGTGGTGTTAGCATGTGCGCAATTAATGTAATTACGTGTGAAAGCCATTTGCGGAATCAAGGTTTATTTTCGGTTTATTTTCGGGATGTCTCATTTCCACTTTATTGTTGCTTTGTGCCCCACATGTGATAACGTCCTAAGACTCAAAAGGAACATGTACAAGAAATGGGAAAAGGGGGAAACCACTAAAGACAAATTCAAACAAACATCCAGCTCATGTAGAGAGAAAGTCAGAAAAGCTAAAGCATTGAACAAGGTCAGGCTTGCTAGAAAGATTAAAAACAATAAAACGTGCTTTTGTGGTTGCATCTGTAGCAAAAGGTAGGGCCGTTGCATGGAGAAGATGGCAAAATGCTGGAACAGGGAAAGGTAGAACTGCTCAACACTTTCTTTGCCTTGGTCTTCTCTGAAAGGAGAACAGTGCTCAACTGGAGAAAAATGGAGCAGAGCACACAGTAGGGGAAATGCAGAACAGAATAGGTAGAGAGGTAGTATAGGAATACCTGGCTACTCTAAATGAATTCAAGTCTCCAGGGCCAGATGAACTACATCCAAGGATATTAAAAAACAAACAAAAAACACCTGGCAAATGTAATCTCAGAATCACTAGCAATAAACTTTGAGAATTCCTGGAGATCAGGAGAGTCCCAGCAGAGTGAAGGAGGGCAAATGGTGTCCCCATCCATCTTCAAAAAGGGAAAAAAGAGACCCAAACAATTACTGGCCACTCAGCCTGACATCAATATCAGGAAAGAGTCCAGAGCATGTCATGAAACAGACAGCCTGTAAGCACTTAGAAAGGAATGCCACGATCACTAAAAGTCAGAATGGGTTTCTCAAACACAAGTCATGCCTGACAAAGGGGCTATACAGACCAGCATGGGGGCAGAGTAGGGTGTGGCAACCGTGCGCTGGCCACCGCGACTCCGCGCTTATCCTGGCATGATGCCGCCCAAGCAACCACACAGCGGGCAGCGTCATGCCAAGTCTTCGGCACAGCGTTTACACGCGCTGCACCAAAGAAGCAGAGAAAAGCCATCACCACCACAGCTAGGGCACCCTTTCTGTGGCATAAAAAGGAGCTGCTTTTTGTTGCTGCTTTTTGTGCTGCAGAAAGGCCAGATCGGGACTGCAGCATGGGGTTGCCATGGCCCCGATCCAGCAAAGAAAAGTCTGTCCAGCCCCCAAATCTATCTTTTTTTTTGATAAAATCACAAGCTTGGTAGATAAAGGGAATGTTGTGGGTGTAGCATGTCCTGATTTCAGCAAGGTCTTTGACAAGGTCTCCAACGACATCCTTGCAAAAAAGCTAGTAAATGTGAGCTAGACTATTAGGTGAATTTGTAATTGGTTGACTAGCCAAACCCAAAGGGTGCTCATCATTGGGTCTTCCTCATCTTAATTACCAGTGGGGTGCCACGGGGTTTTGTCCTGGGCCCAGTGCTATTCAACATTTTTATCAATGATTTGGCTGATGGAATAGAGGACATGTTTATCAAATCTGCAGATGACATTAAATTTTTAGGAGGGGAAGCTACTACTCCAGAGGACAAGATCAAAATTCATAAAGACCTTAATAGATTAGAAAGCTGGGCCAAAACTAACAAAATGAATTTCAACAGGGAAAAATGTAGGATACTCGGGCAGGAAAAATGAAATGCAGATATAGGATAGGTGACACCTGGCTTGTTGGCAGAACATGTGAAAGGGATCTAGTAGTCTTAGTGGGCCACAGGCTGAACATGAGTCAACAGAGGGATGGTGCAGCTAAAAAGGCCAATGCAATTTTAGGCTGCATCAGTAGAAGTATAGTATCTATATCAAGGAAAGTCATAGTGCCACTCTATTCTGCTTTGGTCAGGCCTCTCCTGGAATACTGTGTCCATTTCTGGGCACTACAATTAAAAAAGGGATGTTGAGAAACTGGAGCATGTCCAGAGGAGGGCGACAAAATGGTGAAGGGTCTGGAAACCATAAAGCTCTATGAGGAGCAGCTTAGGGAGTTGGGTATGTTTACTTGAAGAAGAGATGGTTAAGAGGTGATATGATAGACCTGAAGGGATGTCATATTGAGGAGAGAACAAGCTTGTTTTCTGCTGCTCCAGAGACTAGAACACGGAACAATGGCTGCAAGCTCCAGGAAAAGAGATTCCACCTCAACATTAGGAGGAACTTCCTGACAGTAAGAGCTGTTTGACAGTGGAAGACACTCCCTCAGGTAGTTTCCTTCTTTGGAGGCTATTTTTAAACAGAGGCTGGATGGGCATCCTCCCAGGCAGTGCCTGGATTGTATATGGCAGGGATTGGACTGGATGGCTCTGGTGGCCTCTTCCAACTGTATGATTCTATGAAGAGAACCATTTCCAACACAACACTGTTGAGATTAGATCATCTTTAAATCTTCTTTCTTTAATTCCCATCTACTCTTAGATGATTTTATAACTAACCACTCAAAACCTCTTATTTATACCTCAAATATTTCCCCCCTGAATATTATATTTAATTGACCTCCTCTTCTGCTAATTCCATCTTTATCAAACTCATGTAGTAGCTTCTTAATCCTACTAAAAGGTAGCAAATACTATAATGGCAGAAGAGAAAGATTACAGATAGAGAGTGAAACTGAGCATAAGGCATGTAGCAACAGGGAAAAACAAGTTTGGAAAAGCAAAAAGGAAAAGGCTTGGTTCAAGAAATTAATGAAACAACAGAAAAAGAGAGGGGCAAGGAAGGAAGAAAACATGCACAAACACAATTTTCAAGGCATTGCTCTCACCTTCAGAATATCCCTGTGTGATGAAGGACTGGAGAGGAAGATGTAGGCACTGAGACTCGAGGGCTTCATCCACAGTGCAGAAATAATCAAGTTTGACACCAGTTTAACTGCTTTATCTTAATGCTATGCAATTCAGGGATATGTAGTTTTGTGAGATATTTAGCTGCCTCTGTCAGAGAGCTCTGATGCCACAACAAACTACAAATCCCAGGATTCCATAGCATTCACCCATGGCAATTAAAGCAGTGTCAAACTTGATTATTTCTGCAGTGTAGATATAGCCTAGAAGACCAAGCACCGAGATCTATTGATACTAGGAGAGGGGCTTGCTGCTGCTATTTCTCTCAGATAAGGTATTCAGAAAAATCCCTTTTAATCTCATCCCTCCTAATATGAAGGTCGCTACCTCCTTGTTATTAGTTCCCATGTTATTTGGCTTTTATTATTATGTTTTTAACTATGATTTTAATGCTCTATTGATTTAATATTTTTTAAGGGGTGGGGGGTACTGGGGTGTCTGATGTATCTTGTATTTTAATTTTGTTAGCCGGC